ACAAAATGGAAGAAAAAGCCAATGTTATTTTGTGCTGGTGGAAATAGGAGGAAGGAATGAGTCCCCTGAAGCAGGAAGGGGACAGCTGGCCGCTCATGCTCCGTTTTTACTTTCAGTGGCCCAGGAAGGTCTGATTCTTTGTGTTCTTCCGCTTGGTATTTGCCTGCAGATTTCACCAGCTGTTTACTTGACCATCTCTTCTTTTCTGTTTGTCTTTTTCTTGAGTTTCAGCCTCTGCTTTGTGCGTCTTTGACATCTCTTTTCTTTTCATGTCCAGCTTAGCAAATGGTTTCATGGTTTGTTTGTATAGTGGTTGTTTGTCAGTTCAGGGTAATCCTCTACATCTGTAGGATTGCCTTCCTTACTCCTGCCTCTTAACAGTGTGTTCTCTTCTGCCTGAATCACATCCAGAACCTCTTCTGTTCCGGATGCAGTAGCCCACTTGTAAGCTTTGTCCACAGCGTCAAAAGCCTTTTGTGCACCACCTGCAGCGTCTTGGTTTTTGTCAGGATGTACCAGTGTTATACAGCTGCTGAAACCTCTCTCTTATTTCTTTTTCTGTCACTTCAGGAATAGCTGGAAAATCTCAAATGGGTTCACATTAAAGAGGAAGCTGGACAGGTCAATCTTTCAGTCTGATTTTTAGACGTAGAACTTCTATTTGTTTAGCCTTACTGAAGAAGATCACAAAAGCCTCTTCTGTGCCACCTGCCCAGAGCCCTGGCTTTTTGGAAGCTACCATATCCCTGAAGCTGCCATTTTCCAAGTCCAGCCCTCACATGACCCTTGATTTTCTGTTTTCATCATTGTTAAAGGGATACTTATTTTAGAGTGGCTAGTTTTAGTTTTCAGTTGTGTCCTTTGAGTATGGCCTGACCTTATTCAATTAGACTTACCTGTTTCACTGAAATCACAAGTTTTGTTGCTGTTTTTGTTTTAATTTGCTCATTAAAGGACCTACATGTGGATATTTTATGTAATACAACAATTTATTCATTTGCATACTTCTGTTGCTGATTTTAGTAAAACCTAAATCTTTTAAAATTATAATTTGATACATAAAATTTCATATTAAAACTAGGCATGCCGCCGGGTGTTGGTGGTGCACGCCTTTAATCCCAGCATTCGGGAGGCAGAGGCAGGCGGATCTCTGTGAGTTAGAGACCAGCCTGGTCTACAAAGTGAGTTCCAGGACAGCCTCCAAAGCCACAGAGAAACCCTGTCTCGAAAAACAAAACAACAACAACAACAAACTCCCCCCCCAAAAAAAACATAAAAAACAAAAAAACTAGGCATGCCAAACATCCTTCATTTCAGCACTAGGGAAACAGAGGCGATCACACCTCTTTAATTCAAGGCTGGTCTGGTTTACATTGCTAGTTCCAGTCCCAGGCAGGGATACATAGTGAGACCCTGTCTAAAAAAATTATAAGACTGTTTTTAAGCACTTGTTGGTCTTCCACGGCTCCCTAGTTCAGTTCACAACATTCGTGTTATGTGGCTCACAACCTCCTCATACCCCAGGGGCTGACACCCTTTTTTGGTTTCTGCTGCACTGGAACTTCACAAGATCATACCCACATAATAGACAAACAAATGCATACAGGCTCTGTTCTGAAAACATTGGATGTTATATAAAAGGTTTTTCTTCACATCTTAAAGTTGTTCCTTTTTTCTCTACTGTGATTGTAGCAGGAGGAAGCAGAATGGGAAAACATAAATGGACTGTTGATGGCACATGGCTTCAAACCTTTGTGTCTAATCAAAAGAACTGACCTCAAAGGTAACTAGACACTGTTCTTGCTCTGTTAGGAACAAAGCTTGTTTTTCTTTAAAAAGTGTTTATCTTAAAATGGCTTTACCTTCTCTTTGCTCTTGCCATGGCGCGTGCACGTGCGTGTGTGTGTGTATGTATATATATTATGTGTAATATATATATATTACAATGTAGAGCTCATCGTTTTTGACAAGCAGTCATCACAAAGAATGAGGCAGACTTTGAAAATGTTGATGGAAGAAACAACTCGTCAGCAGAGCATGATACGGGAGCTCATAGACACGAACCAACAGCTTAAGTAAGACAGTGGGATTGTTTGCATGCATTCTAAGTACAACTCATCTGAGGAGGATTCTGAAATTTAGTTGTACACTTTAAAAAATTTATTTTACTTCTTACATGTATAAGTGTTTCTGTCAGCAATGTACATAAGTGTACCATGTGGGTACTTGAACCCAGAGTTCAGAAGAGGACATCAGATCCCCTGGAGCTAGAGTTATGAATGATTGTGAACCACCATGTGGGTGTTGGGAACTGAACCTGGGTCCTCTGGAAGAGGAGCTGATGCTCTTAACTGCTGAACCATCTCTCCAGCCCCCTGAAATTTCATTTTTATTAAATGTAAAACAAAATTGTTTTTATAAATAAACGGGCAAAAATTAAATAGATGACTTTCTGTAGCACTTAGCATCGTTATGTAATGGTACCCTCTATTCTATTTACTTTCTCTTATAACATAGGTGAGATTGGGTGTGTCAGGGGCATGGCTACACACCTGTTACAAGATAGAAGTGTTGGGACTGGGGTACAGCTCAGTGCCAATTATGCTAATTTTTGATTCTCAGCACCAAAAAAAGTAAAAAATGTTAAGAATGTGGAGACATTTTGGAAAGCTGTCTGTTATATGTCATGTATGATCTGATTTATTTTAACACTGAGGGAAGGAATTGTCTCTCATAATTAGAAGTGAACTTCAACTGGAACAGAACCGAGCAACACACCAGGAACAGCGAGCCAATGACCTGGAGCAGATTATGGACAGCGTGAAATCCAAAATTGGTGAATTAGAAGATGAGTCCCTAAACAGGGTTTGCCAGCAACAAAACAGAATAAAAGACCTTCAAAAGGAGCATAAAGTATTACAGGTATTTTATTGACATACCTTTTTTTAAAAAAATTTATTTATTTACTATGTATACAGTGTTCTGCCTTCATGCATCTCTGCAGTCCAGAAGAGGGCGGCAGGTCTCATTGCAGATGGTTGTGAGCCACCATGTGGTTGCTAGGAATTGAACTCAGGTCCTCTGGAAGAACAGACAGTGCTCTTAACCCCTGAGCCATCTCTCCATCCCGACATATCTTTTCTTATTTGATGGTTAATACTGAAAGTTCTTCATAGTCCCAGGTAATTTCCATGTCACTTCCAGGGAGTATGTCTGTGGCAAAGGTCAAGGAAATCCAAATGCTTGAGGTATGTGTAAAGATTGTTAGAGGAAAGCAATTTACATTGGCATAGGGTAATAATGTTAATGGGTGATCTTTTCTACTTAGCACCTCATGTTTGAGATTCATCTATGAGGCTGCATGTTATAGTTTCATGAGTATCCTTAAAAGATGCATGTGTGGTCTAAGTGAGTGTATGCCACATATGTATGGGTACCTTTGGAGGCCAGAAGAGGGTGTTAGGTCTCCTGGAACTGGAGTAATAACAACAAGAGCTTGTGAACTGCAGGATGTGGATGCTGGGAACTGAATTCACATCCTTTGGAAGATCAAGGAGTGCTCTTAACCACTGAGTCCTTTGGCATCTCATACTGCACTGTTGCATAGCTCATTGTGCCTGCACAGGGATTTTCCTGTACTTATAATGTCTAGTAGTCTACCTGATAGCAACCATAGTGCCATGTTTAGAGACAGTGTCCTGTGTATAGGTAACAATTCCTGAGTAGATCTCATATTGCCCTGCAATGAGCTCAGATTTCATTGTAAATGCCTCATAATCTCCATGTACATCCCATAATGAATATTGTAGAAAGTCATAGTTATCTACAAAGAAATCCTAGTAAATGTGTATTTTATTTTATTTTTTAAATTTTTTTGGTTTTTCAAGCCTGTCCTGGAACTCGCTCTGTAGACCAGGCTGGCTTCGAACTCACAGAGACCCGCTTGCTTCTGCCTCCTGAGTGCTGAGATTAAAGGTGTGTGCCACCAACGCCCAACCAATGTGTGTTTTATAATGTCACAATACCCAGCATACAACTTTGTTGCCCTGTTTTAAGCATATATTTCTCTGTGCTTTCATATAGCCCATAATGCTGTTTCGAATTTATGGTGTTCTATATAGAGTACCTGTATTGGGGCATTTTCATAATTACTGATTGATGATGTGGGAGGCCCCAGCCCATTGTGGGTAAGGCCACCCTTGGGCTGGTGATCCTGGATAAGAAACCAGGTTGGAAGCTGGGTGGTGGTGGTACACACCTTTAACCCCAGCACTTAGGAGGCAGAGGCAGGCAGATCTCTGTGAATTCAAAGTGAGTTGAGGACAGGCTTCAAAGCTACACAGAGAAACCCTGTCTTGAAAAACAAAACAAAACAAAACAAAACACCCAAAAGAAACCAGGTTGGGCCGGGCGTTGGTGGCGCACGCCTTTAATCCCAGCACTCAGGAGGCAGAGGCAGGCGGATCTCTGTGAGTTCGAGGCCAGCCTGGTCTACAAAGCGAGTTTCAGGACAGTCTCCAAAACAATACAGAGAAACCCTGTCTCGAAAAACCAAAAAAAAAAAAAGAAACCAGGTTGGGCCAGCATAGTGTCTCTCCAATTGAGTTCACATCACACATGAATAGGACTCATAAAGCACCTGTTTAGACTTCATAATCCCAAGTAAATAGCTTGCAGTGCACACCCACCCACCCCTCTGTGCATGTGGAAGAGTTATATTGAACCAACAGTGTATCTGTACAATGTCCTTTATGAAGTTCATAGTGTACCTCCGTAGATTAAAGGACATAATGAGCTCATAGTGTCCTTTATGGATTCCAGGTGCCCTAACAGAGCTCTCAGTGGCTGTTTTATAGAGCTCACAGTATACATGATTTAGAGCCCATACTGAAGTAGTACAGATCATAATGCACCTTTATATAAGCTTCACAGTCTCATCTATGTAGCTCATAGTGCACTTTACATGCAGCTTACAGAAGTTTCATATTGCATGTATGTTGATTGCATAGGATACTTTAAAGAGGTCCTATGCCTTTCATAAAATTCATGGTGTCTTACATATAGATTACAGTGCTATGGGCACATCTCATGCTGCTGTGTTTAGAGCTCAGTGTCCTATACAGAGCTCATCATGGCCTAGTATGGTGTCATAATGCTCATGAATAGAGATCTTTTCCACCCATTGGAGGCTCAAATTGGAAATTTATTGAATCCATGCTAGAGATCATAGTTCTCATTATGGATCTCAGTGCCCTATGTAAGGTTTAAGTGGCCTGCATAGATATTTCTCTTATGTGGTCATATTGCCTTGTACTATGTGTAATAAAGCTGTGTGAGCAGATAGTAATGAATTCTGTCCAGAGCGTGGGTTATCTGGCCTGTGAGCCTCTGGGGATTCTTCTGTCTCTGTTTCCCATTTTGTCATATGAATGGCTGAAGTATAGATGAGTGTTGTTGCGCCTGGCTCTATATGGGTTTGGGGACTCAAAATACAGATCCTCCTGCTTGCTTGGCACATACTTTATCCACTGAGCCCTCATCTCAGCCATGCAATGAAAAGTAAAACACTGAAAAAAGAAATTGAAGAATACATTAGATGATGGAAAGACTTTCTGTTCAGTTTATGGATTATCAGACTAGATAGTGGCTATATTACCAAAGTAATTTCTACCATCAAGATTCTAGTGACAGTCTTCATAGAATTGAATAAACAATCCTAATATGCATATAGTAGCACAAAAGGCCCTTGATAGTGAAAGCAATTCTGAAAATTAATAATGCTGGTCACAGTATCATTCTGGTTTCAAGTTATAACTACAAAACGGTAGTAACAAAAACAATTTGGTACTGTCACAAAAATATGTGTATCAGTGAAATAGAATAGACAACCCAGAAATGAACACATTATATACCCAATTGAATTTTGGTTTTACATATATCAGAGAAAGAGACAATTTCTTCAACATAGTACAGGGAAACATGATGTCTATATGTGGAAGAATAAAACTAGATCCTTATCTCTTACCCCATAAAAATAAATTAATAATGAACCAAAGATTTCAGTAATCTAAATTATAACTGTTAGGAAAAAAGAAACCTCTTAAAAGTATAGACATAGACAGGAACTTTGAATTGACAAGTAGGATTGCATGAATTTTAAAAATTTCTGTACAGGAAAGGAATCAACCAACAGGGTGAAGAGACAACTAATAGAAGGGGAGAAAACTATACTACCTGTGAATTACTATCTAGAATATATAAGGACTCAGGGAAGAATGGTGTCACATGTCTTTAGTCCCAGCATTCAGGAGGCAGAAGCAGGAGGATCTTTGTGAGTTCCAGGTTAACCAAGGCTACATAGTGAGACCCTGTCTCAGAAAAACAAAACAAAAACTAGACCCAAGCAGTCTAATAAATCATTTGATAAATAGGCTAATTAATGAATAGACTGTTCTCAAAAAATTGAAGTACCAGTGACTAATAGACAAATAATAGTCAACACCCTAACAAGAAGGGAAATGCAAATTAAAACTACATTGAGATTCTATCTCACACCTAGTCACAATGCCTATCATTAAGGCAAAAGGTAACAACAAATGATAATAAGAATTTTGAAGAAAAAGAGAACCTGTACTGAAGGGAGTATAAATTTGTGGAGGTTTCCTCAAAAACTGAAACTAGAACTACCTTATGACCTAGTTCTGTTCTTTCTGGGTATATACTCCAAAGACTAGGTTAATGATCCCAGAGACACTTTCACATCTGTGCTTACTGCAGTAAGATTGATAGTCAAGTTATGGAATCAGTCAAAGTGTCCAAGAGATGAGTGAACTAAAAGTGTGTGTGTGTATGTGTGTGTGTAAATATGTATGTATGTGTGTATGTATGCACATGCATCTTGAAATTTGAAGCCAGAATAGGGAAGAGGAAAAATAAAGATACAGAGGTGAGCATGGTCAAAATACGTGGTATACAAAAATGTTCTTGTGAATCTCATCACAGTGTGTAATGAATATATGCCAAGGAAAAACCTCAGTGATTACTTCTAGATTTTGGCTAACTTACATGTTGAGGGGAGACTGGCACCCTCATCACTTAGCTGTAGAGGTCGTGCCTAGTTTCATGGAAGGCCAAGGCAGAGGGTGGAGTACTGCATATTTCATGTTCCCTAGGAGATGTTATGTTACCAGAAACTAAGACTATTTCCCCTTTGAGGGTTGTTAAGTTTCAATAAATTTGACATTTTGGACAGATGACCATGTGCTTAGCTGTGAGTGTTATGTTTTGAAAGTGGTATCTTTTTTTTATAAATCTAAGGCACATATTGGTTATGGACCTATCCTGATTTATAGTCTTCTCCATTGCCTGGATGCCCAAACTGACTACATCATTTGTAATCCACAAATCATTTAAAAAAGAAACCTTAATTTTCATTTGTGGTTCTCTCTCTTTCTGGTATTTTGAGACAGGGTTTTTCTGTGTAATAGTCCTTGTTGTCCCAAAACTCAATCTGTAGACCAGGCTGGCCTCTAACTCACAGAAATTCACCTGCTTCTGCCTCCTGAGTGCTGGAATTAAAGGCACGTGCCACCACCACCCAGCTGTTTTGTGGCTCATTAAAAATATTTTAAATATGTAGTTCTCTTCTTGATTATTAGTTTTATCTCAACTTAGATAAAAGGTAGGCATGGTGGTACACACCTGTAACTCCAGCAACTAGGTGGCTGATAAAAAAGGATTGCAAGCTGGAAGCCAGTGTGGGCTATGTAGAAACCTGATCTCATAAAACCATTGAAATATAAAATTATATTGACTTTGTAGAGATTCTTAAAATACTTATTATGAAATCTTAAATGCATGTAGTTGTCATAGTTTCCTCATTTTATAGGTTTTCACGTTTGTGAATATTATTTTTTGCGTCAGTTTTTAAGTAGCCCTGATGAGATTATTGAATGAAGCAGCTGAGTGGAAATGGTGACATGGATATTATAGAGTAGTATGTCTTACATGTATAAATATAACTACGGATTTACAATTTTCTTACAGACGAAATGCCAGCATTATAAGAAAAAACGAATGGAGCAAGAGGAGACCATTGCTTCTTTGCAAAAGAATATCTACAGATTAACCAAGGAGGAAGAAGAGCGTATTGTCACGCAAAACAGAGTATTTGCCTATCTCTGCAAGAGAGTTCCTCACTCAGTCTTGGATAAACAGTAATGCTTAGTACATAAGATGATAATGGAACTAAGTTGGTTATTTTTCAGCTGATTTTATCTTGACAGTGATTATATCTTTTGCTAGAGAAATTCCTTTTTGTCTTTTTTTCTCAGTTCGTGTATGGGGGTGTGTAAGTTTCTCTTAGAGTATTTTGAGGAAATTATTTATTTATTTATTTATTTATTTATTTATTTATTTATTTATTTATTTATTTAAGACAGGGTTTCTCTGCCCTGGCTGTCTGGAACTCACTTTGTACACCAGGCTGGCCTCGATCTCACAGTGATCCACTTGCTTCTGTTTCTTGAGTGCTGCGATTAAAGGTTTGCACCACCAATGCCTGGCATAAATTTTTATTTTAAATCCTTTATTATTTTAATTATGTAGGGGTGGGGTGGGAATATGTGTATTTGAATACAAGTGCCCACAGAGGTCAGAGAGTATATGTATGTCTACCACAGGTTTGCAGGAGACTTCAGAGATCAGAAGAAGGTGTTGGGTCCCCTAGAACTAGAATTCCAGGCAATTGTGAGCTGCCATGTGGGTTCTGGGAATCAAACCCAGGTCCTGTGTAAGAGCAGCAAGTGCCCTTAAACACTGAGCCTTGGGCAAATATTTCTGTGGCAGATTGCCAGAAGTAGGATAGTTAGGACAGGAAGAGTATGTATTTTAAAAAATGAGACATGTTTATAAATATATTAATATAAATATAGCTTAGTGTAATACTTGTGTTCTGGCAAGAATGGTTGAAAAATTTTTAAGTTTGCCAGACAATCCTTACTTTTAAAAAGGATTTTATAGCTGGGCTGTGGTGGTGCACACCTTTAATCCCAGCACTTGGGAGGCAGATGCAGGCAGATCTCTGTGAGTTTGAGACCAGCCTGGTCTACAAGAGCTAGTTCCAGTATAGCCTCCAAAGCCACAGAGAAACCCTGTCTCAAAAAAACCCAAAAAAAGGATTATTATTTTTAATAATGTGTTTATGTGTATATGGGTTTATGTGCTTGTGAGTTCAGGTACTGCCAGAGGCAGGAAGCCTTTTAGAGCTGGAGTTATAGAAGGTGCTGGAAACTGAGCTTGGCTCCTCTGCAAGAGCAGTATACACTTTAGGTTTTTTTAGGGCTGGAGGGATGGCTTACAGGTTGGGAGTGCTTATTGTTCTTGCAGAGAACCTGGGTTCTACTTCTATCACCCACATGGTGGTTCACGGGTTCACAACTGTCTAGCTCCAGGGATCAGATGTCCTCTTCAAGCCTCCATGGGCACTTGAACACAGATTGTACACACACACACACACACACACACACACACACACACACACACACACACACACGCGTGCGTGCGTAAATCTTTTTTTTTTTTTTTTGAGACAGGGTTTCTCTGTTGTAGCCTTTACTGTCCTAGAATTCACTCTGTAGACCAGGCTGGCCTCAAATTCACATAGATCTAACTGCCTCTGCCTCCCAAGTGCTGGGATTAAAGGCATGTGCCACTACTACCTGACAATCTTTAAAGTTTTTCTATGTATGAGTTTTTGCCTATATGTATGTGTATGTACCACATGTGAGCCTGGTGTCTGTGGAGGCCATAAGAAAGCGTTTGATATCCTGGGATAGAGTCATGGATGATTGTAAGCTACCATGTAGGTACTAGAAATCAAACCTGGGTCCAAGAGCAGCCATTGCTCTTAACCATTGAGCAATCTCTTCAGCCCTGCAGTATGCTGTTAGCTGCTAAGCTATCTCTCTATACCCAGCATGTGCTAACTTTTATCATTATGATTAGAAATTATGTAAAAGAATAGTAGATACTACCTTTTGAAAATAACACATTTTTGTTTTCTAGATTGCTTTGTCTAATTGATTACTATGAATCTAAACTTCGAAAACTCCGTACACAAAGGTATAAATAATAATAATTTTTCTTTTGTTTTTTGAGACAGGATTTCTCTGTGTAACTTTGGAACCTGTCCTGGAACTCACTCTGTAGGCCAGGCTGGGCTCGGAACTCACCGATACCTGCCTGCCTCTCCCTCCCATGTGTTGAGATTAAAGGCATGTGCCACCACCATCTGGCAAATAATATAGAATGGATATTATCCAGGAACAAATTAAGTTTCTGTAGCTTTTGAGACTTTATGTTCTGGAAGTCTGTTTATTATTATGAAATTCTTTTTCAAATATGGTATTTTTTATCCTCTGAGAATTTCATACATGGGTACTCTTAGGTTTCTGTTGCTGTGAAGAGACATCATGACCATGGCAACTCATACAAAGGAAAACATTTAACTGGGGTGGTAGCTTACAGTTTTGGAGGTCCAGTCCATTATCATGGTGGGACATGGTGGCGTGCAGGCAGACAACAAAAGGAAGTAGACTGTGACAGTGGAGTGTCTTGAGCATAGGGGAACTCAAAAGGCTCACCCCACAGTGACACACTTCCTCCTACAAGGTCACACCTATTCCATCAAGGCCACAACAAGTGCTATTCCTTTTGGGGGGCATTTTCTTTCAAACCACTACACATACAGTGTATTTTGGGGGGCATATGGTGTATTTTGGAAATATTTATCCTCCATTTCTCCCCAACAAATTTTGGTTCCCCCTCACATCTTCCTCACAACTTTGTGTTGAAATTCTTTTAATGAAGTTCTATAAGATTGTATTTTACTGCTTAGGTAAACAATGTGCTATTTCCTTTATTTTGTTGAAGCATTATGTTATTTAGCCACTGGATAGTAAGTATATTTATAAGGTATATGGACATATGGTATATTGGCTGTGGAGCAAAATGTTATGAAAGTTTAAATATACCAAAGATAGAATGACAGTGAAAAATTGTCTTATTGCTATTTATGGAAGTTCATGCCTGTATTCCTACTCCTTGTAGCCTGAGGTAGAGGTTGTAACATTGAGGAAGTGAAGGAAAAAGAGGGTAGCCACAAGTTTGAAGCCTGCCTGGGCTACATAGTGAATCCCCAGCTGGCTTGAATTAGAATGAGATTGTCCTGATAATGTACTTAGGAAGATGTGTGTCAATACTTGTGTAAGTAAATGCAAGATGTAGTGGTGTGTAATTGTGAGGCAGGTGGGACAGTTGTGTGGCAAAGAGAGACAGGAGTGAATGGTAGGAGAATGGGTAGGCTTTGCATATGGACTGCAGAGTTTCCAAGACAGATATGATAAAGGATTTTTCAGTTAGATGAATACACAGCAGGAAGAGTGAATGTATTTAGGAATTTTAAGTAATCTAAGCAGTCTGAAGCACAGCGTAGGTGAGTTGTGCATGCACTGTGTATTGTTACACTCGACACTTTTTCTTGATTTTTTTTATGAATTGAAAGTACTAGAAGGAATAAACAGTATGCACAGTATATTTTTTAGGACCAGGAATGTTCTATTTGTGTTTTGTTTGTTCATTCAAGAAGTATTTTTTATTCCCTCTGTGTCCTGTGACAGAATTTTCTGGTCCTTACACATTCTAAGTAAAATAGTAAACAGAGTACTCTAGGACTAGAAAGTACTGTGCTGTGCTGTGATACTATTCACTGTAGAACACGTAGGAAATTGGGATTTTTTTAATTCATGTTTAAATTTTAAGCCCTCATTAGATTGGCTTATTTTTGCTAGCTAAATATCTTCTTTAAGGATATATAAGGTGTTTGTCTCCCCTCAGACAGGGTAAGGAAGACGACAGTCAGTCAGAAGAAGAAAAAGACTACAGAGACATGCATGCCTCACCAAGTTATAAAGGCCTTCTGATGGTATGGAGACCAGAGAACTGATAAATACCTTTTTATAGAGCAAAATAATCCCCTAGGAGAGTTACTTATTTTACTGTGAAATGCATTGCAGTCGTTACAGAATCAACTCAAGGAATCAAAATCCAAGATTGATGTACTGTTAGGTGAAAAGCTGAACCTCCAAAAAGACCTGGAGAGCAGGTGAGGGAAACTTAAGTTTTCTTTACCTTTTAGAATGTTAGATGAATCCTTCTTGACACTTTTATACTCCTCCTGGTTGGTTGTATTTCATGGCAAATGATGAGTAAGAATCCTTAGGCAAGCAAGGGAAATGAGAAAATAGGAATCCATGTTGTTGATAAAACTGGATAAGAACTTTGAGGAGATTCAGACTTTTCTTGTGTTTGTGTGTTTATATGTATGGGTACAAATGTGTGTGTGCATCTGTGCTCATGCATATGGAAACAAGAGTCAGCCTCTGTCATTCCTCAGTCTCTGTCCACCTTGTTTTGTGAGACAGGATCTCTCATTGAGACCGGTCTGGCCGGGCGTTGGTGGCGCACGCCTTTAATCCCAGCACTCAGGAGGCAGAGGCAGGCAGATCTCTGTGAGTTCAAGGCCAGCCTGGTCTACAGAGTGAGTTCCAGGACAGCCTACAAAGCCACAGAGAAACCCTGTCTCGAAAAGCCAAAAAAAAAAAAAAAAAAAAAAAAAAAGAGAGAGACCTGTCTGGAGCATGCCAATTAGGCTGCCTCACCAGTGAGCCTGAGGGATCCAGCTGTCTTCAGCACCCCCTTCCCAGTGCTGGGGTAGTAAGTGTGCACTCCCATGCCTTTTTAGGTTATTGGACTTGAACTCTGACTTAGCTGTCTCCCCAGGCCCAGGTTCAGTCTTTGTTTGTTTTTTTTTTTTTTCCTTCTTCTTTTAAAATTAACTAGAGTGAGGGCTGGAGAGTTGGCTTCTCTGGAAAACTGCCTGTGTGCAAGCATGTGAGGACTTGAGTTCAGATCCCCTGCACGTATGTAAAAAGCCAGCCAGTTGTAACAGTGTATATCTGTAATTGCAGCATCAGGAGAAGGTGTGAAGACTGGCAGATTCCTGGAGCTCATTGTCTGGCCAGCCAGCATAGACAGTTGATGAACTCTAAGTCCAATGAGAGAACCTATCTCAAAAATAAGAATTTAGCAGCATGTTTGGGAATAACAAACTATGATTTAGGGTAGTAGTTACTTGTGATATGAGAGAAACAGGAATGATACTAATGAGGATGTCTTAGCTAGGGTTTCAACTTTGGGAGGAAAGAATTAGTTTCATTTCATAGCTTATAGTCCATCATCCAGGGAAGTCAGGGCAGGAACCTTGGTTCAGGGACTGAAGTAGAGGCCATTGAGTGATGTATTTACTGGTTTGTTCCTCATGACTTGCTTAGCATCCAGGACCTTGGGACCAGATGTGGGCTGGGCCCTCTCACATCAATCAATAACCTAGACAGTACTCTAAAGTCTTGCCTACAGGCCAATTTTTTAAATTCTGTTTTTAAAATTTTAAGTTAGAAACAAGCTTGTTTTACATGTCAATCCCAGTTCCCTCTCCCTATCCCCATCCCACTAATGCTGTATCCCATCCCCTTTATGCTCCTCAGGGAGGGTGAGGCCTTCCATGGGGGATCTTCAAAGTCTGTCACATCATTTGGAGCAGGTCCTAGGCCATCACCTGTGTGTCTAGGTTGAGAGAGTATCCCTCTATGTGGAATGGGTTCCCAAAGTCCACTCATATGCTAGGGATAAATACTGATCTATTACCAGAGGTCCCATAGATTGCCGAGGCCTCCTCACTGACACCCATGTTCATGGGGTCTGGATCAGTCCTATGATAGTTTCCCAGCTACCAGTTTGGGGTCCATGAACTCCCCCCTTATTCAGATCAGCTGTTTCTGTGGGTTTCTCCAGCCTTATCTTGATCCCTTTGCTCATCATTCCTTCCTCTCTGCAACATCTACAGACTAATTTTAATGAGGCATTTTCTCATTTAAGATTTCATCTTCTTAGTATATCTAAGTTTGTGTCGAGTTGACAAAAACCATCCATTACAGAGGATAGTGTATTCACCAAAACCACAGATTACATAATAGCATGAAAGTAAATAAAGACTTTAAATAAATTATACAGAATAAATCAAATGCCTAGTAAACACATAAGAATTAAGATTTTAATAAAGGGCTGGGGAGATGGCTCAGCAGATAAGAACATTGGCTACTTTCCAAATGGCTAGGGCTTGATTCTCAGAACCCACACAGTGGCTCACAACCATGTGGATTCCAATTTCAGGGGTTCCAATGCTGCCTTCTGGCATCTACAGGCACTAGACACACACATATATACTCAGGCAAAATACCCATATACATAAAATTTAATTTAATAAGTTTATTGTTTATTGATAATACAAGATGTATTTTTTGCTAAGTATTTTTGTCCTTTTCAATAAATTTAATGTATTCACCATGATTTCTTTTTTACAGGCCTACAGAACATGAATTAAGACTTTATAAACAACAGGTGAAGAAACTGGAAAAAGCCCTTAAGAAAAGCATCAAGTAATTACATTTTGTCAAAGTTATAGCTTATAGTTGGGTCCTGTATTTTATTATTTGTTTTTATATCTCTCAGCTATTGTGTATTATATTACAGCAACCTTGTTTTTATATTTCTCAGCTATTGTGTATCATACTATAGCAACCTTGGCTTGGAATTGCCAGGCTGATGAGAGATGTGACATTACAAGTGTTTTGAGCCAGACATGCTAGCATGAACCTATAAATCCCAGCACTGTGGAGGCTGAGCAAGAGGATCACAAATATGAGGCTAGGCTGGGCTATATATTACAACTCTGTCTCAAAAAACAAGACAATAAAAAGGGATAGTTCTGATTCTAACAGCTTAAAAGCAATTTGGATTTGGCTTTATTTTTTATTTTACATATTCTTGAGAATTTCATGCATTCAGATAATGAGATACGATCATATACATCATTTCTCCTCTGTAACTCCCTTCTCCTTAACATGTCCCTCAACTAACTTTGTGCTTTAAAAAAAAAAAAAACTATCCTTCAAATCCAGTTGGGGGCTACCCATATGTGTATGGATCTGGTTTGTTCACTGAAGCATGGGAATCTTGTTGGTGTCCACATCCTCAAAAGGAATGATTCCACCCTCCACCCCCCAGAAACTTAACTACCAGTAACAGAAAGAGTAGGGCCTCGATGATCTATGCTGGAATCTTGTCTGGCTTACTTTCATAATCATGGTGCTGTGGGTTCATGACTGCGATTGTCATGTCCTGAATACAGAGTTTCACAGCACCCCTCCATTATTGCCTGACTCTTTTGTTCTTTCTGCCTTAGTTCTGGGGTGTGGGGATGAGATTGGGCTGAGCATTTAGCCCCTTATTCTCAGCACTTTGACCAATTGTGTTTCTCTTCATTGACTGCTGCTCACTTCCCAAAGAAACTACTTTGATCAAAGCTGAGAGCATCCTAGGTTTATAGGTATAAACATAGATGTTTAGATAGCATTTTCATCAAAATAACAATTGCAGGTTCTCCCCTAGGGCCTATGACTCCTGAGTCATGGGCTTTTGACGAGAACTAAAGGACCATGCATGAAGTTCCCTCTTGTGGAGCAGTCCTCAAACCCAACCACAAAGCTGGCATCCCATGCCACTGTTGAGCCAGCAGGCTTATCTCACCTGGCAGGCCAGTGCTGCAGCATTCAGGGTCCAGCACTGGTTAGACCATTGATGTCTTTTCTCCTTCAGAAGCCTACATAGCATCTCTATGAAAGCACCAGCATTAGAAAGTTTCCTGGTTGGTTTCAGATCTATTTCTGTATGTCATACAGCCAAAGTATTTTGTGTCTTCACCAATATGGTTTATAGAGTCTTGCCAAATAGTTTGGTGGGTAACCAGGGGCTATGAGAATAGCCTGTGTTGTTTTGGAGACCTCTGGGGGCCTCCCTGACCATTAATTCCTAGAAAGTATCCCATACCTTACACCCATGTATTCTAGGAGTGTCATTTTCCACCCATGTAGGGTATTTTCATTAAAAAATATTTTTAAGTTGTAATCTCAAACCAGCTAGTGGGCTTCTAGAAGGCTTTTTCATACAGCTTTAGTTTTTCAGTTAATAGGTTCTCTCTTTAACCCTACCTACCCCCACCTGACCCCTTAACACTCAGTATTCCTCCTCTCTTATTCATATATAATTATTCTTGTATTGTCTTCTCTAAGAAATTTGATTCCTTATTATTTGCCAAATCTAATTGGGTCTTAGGCCATTGTGCACCCATGATTTTAATGTCATGGAGTGTTTTGTTTTAGCTCTAGAGTTGATGTTTCTTGGACATCAAGGTTATCATAGGTCTTATTAGTAGACCTTAAGTAGATCTGTTTTATTTCACCAAATTCCAGTGTGAGGGAGTGTATGATTTGTCTTCTTACAGGAGAAGTCTGATAACATGACAGTTTCATTATGTATTCCCTCCCAAATATTCCTTTTCCCATGTGCCAAACGGTATTCCTAGTTGGAACTGAGACTAAGGGCCAGACCTGGGAAAAATCAGAAGTTCATTTCTTTTGGGGACATAGCCACATATCACCTTTTTGTTCACACTCAGAGAAATAAAGTTCCACTGAGACTCATTTTGGAGGACTGCCCACCTTTGTCCAATGGGCATTATGCAAATATCCTCTTCTATTTCCCCTAGCCCAATTAACTGCTGATATACTTTGTTGATTCATTTAACCTAGGAACCTAGGCCGTTAGAGTGCAATGACTCATGTTGCATTTATTAGTTATTATTTTCCAGAGCCTGAGTTCCCCATAGTTTTTCCATAGGTTTTTGGTGTGTGCTTCTGCATTAAGGATGGTTGGTCATTGTCCCATAGCTAATTCTGGTTCCATCTGCACCAGCATAGTTAATAGTCCCTGTTGAGTTAGAGTGCAGGCCCTTTCCCAGTTTTGGGTTAGAGAATAATTTTGTAAAGCCTGCTTTAATATGAGATAGCCAATCTGTTGGGCTTGAATTTTCATTTGGGAGTGTCTCCCATCCTCCAGTTTCCTTCTGAAATAGTAACTTTACCTTGTCTCCTATTCTGGAGAGTCTTTTTTCTAGAGAATGTCTCCCTCTGTTGTGGCCCATTCAACTTGTTCCATGAGTCCAGTGCCTAGTTTACCAAAAAGATCTCTTTTCTTTCGGATTGTAAGCCAGTTCTAGGAAGTTCACTGGGAGTATTGGCTCCATTGAAGGGCAGTAGCT